CAGCTTTGTCAAGCGAAAATATGTTGTTATTTGGAGTTATCAAACCTCCTCACACTAAACCTTTGTTCGTCCTCGAACAAACTCAATCGCGTGAATAAAAGGGTTAACCCGTTCAAGGCAGTCAAGTATTGCATAAGATCAGTGCCATGGTTGTGAATAAACTGAATCTTGAATATAAGCAATTGATATTTAAGCATTCAAAACTTGTCAAACTGATTTAACATGAGAGGAGTCATCCAGGCATAATCAATTTTGTTCGCTCAGCGGGGACTCTTTTTTTGATAAAGGAACCTTCAACCGAAATGTGCGGAATTTTTTTTATATCGCTTATTATATTTCGCGATGGGTCACAAAGTTTCAAACAAACATTGTGTCTGCTCGTGACCTTAATTGATTTTCATCGCACCTAGGCCTTTTCAGTCTGTTTAATAATAGATCCTCCCCGTTTCGTTTACATCATTTCACAAACCATATTTAAGAACTTCCCTTTTCAGTGTCATTTTATTTGAGCGAAGTCAATAGAAATCAGTTTTCTTGCTCTACTGAGTATGAAAAAATTGAAACGAATGGGGCACTAACTTTTTTAAGTCATATCAGTGGGTACCTGGTTTAACTCAACATTCACATTATTGAATAAGGTCAATGAAAAATTACTAAGTTTAGCATTCACAAATTGTCTAAACCTACTCTAAAACATATCATAAGTCTAACGCAATGATGTATTAAACAAATTTCAAGTAATAACACATGCTTACAGTTATGATAGGTACACACTATTGAAAAGTTCAACTTGTTACGAAAAATCCGTTGTGTCATTGATCATAAAATATTTATGTACATGCCTTGCCATTCTTTGCCAAAATATGTACAAGACAGGAGAAGGATCCTAATTATTTTTCGTTGGGCTCCGAGGATCCACATCCTGTCCGAGGAAGGTTGTTGACCAGCTACCGCACTAGTTTCTCTAGTCATTGTTGGCTCCTACTGAGTCAAGATGTTATTCCATCATGATTGCATTTTTCTGGGTAACAGTTGCGAGAGCTTTTAAAATATTGCTCTGTCTACTTTCGAGGCTCTTCAGCTTCTTCCCCAGGATTGTAGCTTGGGACTCCAGCCTTCCAACAACGACTCTAGTGCGATAGTCATAGAGCTTTCGGAAGCCAGGTGGTTAGCCAGATTTTTGACATGATTGTCGATCAGTGATTGCAAAAGAACATATTGTCTAAGTAGCGCTGCATCGAGGTCATCTAGTCGTCTTTTGATCGGTTCAAATGCTGTGCGAGGGGCAGAAATTCTTGCCTCATTGGTCACTGGTGACTGTCGCCCGGAAGCGGAACTGTGTCCACCCGCTCTGGTTCTTCCTTTAAGGAATCGCGTCCTGGCTCAGGGGTGACTTCTCTCAAGTATACTAGCTTCCTCCCTGCCTCATACTCCCGTTGCACTGCTTTCTTAGCTTCAAAGTATTTTCTGAATTGCAGCTGGAGTTGGGTCAACAGCTTCCACCATCTGAGAAGCTTTGCCAACACCTTCATTTTCCTTTTTTCATCTCTACGAGCAGCCGAGCCTGTCGCTTCTTGAATTGCCTTTCCACTTCATCCTCCTCCTCACCGATGATGGTTTTGTCTGATTTAGTTGAGGACGGAGTCAGAGTTTTTGCTAGTGTCGTTTTCTTCATCAGTGTTTGGGGGCTGTATGGCATGGGTTCTTCTTCAGCTGCCTCCAGAGTTGTTGGCTCTGTCACTTTAGGAGACACCTGCAAAATAGGCAGCGATGTTATTACTGCCTCGACCCTGTTGGTTTCATCAGTAGATTCAGCGGTTGTTGCAGCGGGGACCTCAGCGGCTTGGTCTTTGAATGATTCCACAGTAACATCTATGCCCCAATAATTTTTTCTGTGATGACGGTCTCCTACTCCTCCACTATTCCAACAGCAGTTGGCTCTCCAACCCCAGACTAGTTAACAAGAATGGGTTCATCGCCAGTTGTTCCAGCAATAGTTGGCTCACCCACCCCCTGCTGGTTAAAGGGAGTAGGTTCATCGTCAGTTGGAATAACTTGTTGGAGTGGTGTCGCTTTGCGCGGCTGGCTCATTGACGATGGTCTCTCAGGTTGGGTGGTGGGCTCTCTAATTATGATCCCTTTCTTTAAACAATAAAGCAAGACCATATCTGATTTGTCCTTTTCCTCCACCGGTTTGCCATTCCCTTTCTCTTTCCTAGTTAGCTTCCGAGGGGACTTCTTCAGTGCCATCTTCACCCTTGGTTTCTTAAAAATTGGCTCAGGAGAAGGGTCTTCTTTCCTCTTTGTCCTATTCTTGCCAACGGCCTTCTTTGGATCTTTTCCACCCTTATCACTCCGGGCCTCATCCTCGCCAAATATTTTTCTTCGCTCCTCAACCTCCTGAGCAAATAGAGAAGCGATCCATCTTCCTCAGCTGCAACGGCTTCCTCAGAGACTGTCCTCTCGAAATCGTGTTCAACGGCGGCCCTTTCTGGTTCGGCCTCCGACGCCAACTTCTCTTCTTCCTCACCCTCTGTGCCAAGCAGAAAATATCCTCTCCACCAACTTTCATCTTTTTCTTTGGCATAGGGGAAGGAAATGTCATTTTTTTTTCCTCTTCCTCTCCTTGGGATCAAGCTAAACCCCTTCGACTCTAGCCATAACTTATGAAACGCCGCTGGCTGGAGCGGTTTCATTTGGAGCTCTGAGGCTAGAGTTGGCATATCAACTCCCGCTCGCTTGCATAGCTCTGTAGGGTCCCGTGATCCAATGTTCGGTCAATCTTCTTGCCTGCCAAGATGTCTATGTAGATGACGGAACCCATCTCTATGTCAGCCTTTTCTTCAAAGATGGAATATTGCACGACCAGATATTCGGGCCTGATGTCGGTTGTGTGAGAGGTTATCATAACCCTGCTCAGCAACCATTTCACCTATTCTTTCTTTTCATCATCCACTGACCCAAACTTCAAATTTTGCTTTTCGTACTCAGGGGTGGATTGAAGGTCCTGTAAAGCAACTGCAGCTCCAGCAAGCTGCATCTCTCTACTACATTCATCTTATCTTCCATCTTCTTCGATGAGTAGCGGAATGGCCATTCGAAGACTCGGTTGATTCGTCTCACAATCCACCCATTTTCCTCTGACGTAGATGCTTTGGGGATTCTTGGCTTGGCTCATATTCACGTAGAATTCCCTCACTAGCGATACATCCACTGGATCCTTAGGATTTTGGATTAACCAAGTCAGGCCCCATTCTTTATCCATTCCGCAAGTGGTTCTGAGACAATCTCAGTGGCGAATCCTCTATCGTAGAGGATTCCCATGGCCTTCGTCATTTTGTAGGCCACCGCCGCTTCAAAGTGCATCAAGTCATAAACTCCAGCTGCTAACACAGACTTTGCAATCTCGGCGGCGTCCTTCCTAGAAATCTTCTCAGAGAAGAAGGCCTTCATCTTCTCTACTACCACTTGTCGAGCGAAATTTTGTTCAATCTCCCATATACTGAAATCCTTGAGTCTTTTATAGTTTAACCACCAGTCGCTCACCGGATACCTCTACTCGGTTTCGTTTGTATATTCAAATCTGAGGTAGTCCACCGGGAACACTAGGATGTATTTCTGAACTTCACAGATTTCAGCTTCCTTAGCTCGCTCCAGTCCTCAGTCAACTCCAAGACTTTTGTTCGCTTGTAATAAGCCTCTGGTGGTGCTGGTTCAACCAATTCCCCCGAGCTTCTTTGGAAAGTATCCTTTCAATTCTCCTCAAAATTTTTGCTTCAACTTTCTTAATTCCTCCTTCACACGTCTCTTTCTCTTGCTTGGACCTATTATGATTACTTAAATAGCCTAGGGCTTTTCAGAACTTCAGTAAGAACAGAGCAAAGACAAAATAATCTCAAACCAGAAATATTAATTCCAAAATGGATAAACAATCAACTAAACAGGTAGAAATACTCTAAATCTCGCTGATTTGAACCCTATTTCTTTCTTCCAAAACGAAACAAAATACTCCAGGGAAAGTTCCGTAGTGAAAATGGGAGAAAATCACAAACATAGAAAATCCATTTAAAAATTGAAAATTGATCCTTAGAAAGTAAGAATATCATATATTATATCTAAATAACGGACTCAGATTCACAGAAAATCAAGTTTGAGAAACTTTGCAAAAGTTCGCTAATCAGTAAGTTTTCGCAAAAATAATTTTTGATTCTATGTTTTTGAGTGTGAAATCGGAAGAAATAAACCACAAAATCAAGTAATAAGGCAATAACAGACCTAGATCTTACCTCAAATTTTATTAAAATCGGTTGAAAGACGAAGATTTTTTGAATTTGAGAACACGGAGAAATTTCGGTTTCTTTTTTGCGTATTGAAGAAGTTACTGCTAGGGTAAAAGTGAAAATGACCGACTGGTGGGTTATTTATAGAGGAGAGATTTTGTGCTCACTTAATGGGTGACGTAAGCGACGGATGGTTCAGCTTCTAGTCAGTCTAGTATTATATTAATATAAAGGCATAAAGGCGGGATATTGGGCTGGTGAACAATTAAAGCAATTACTTATAATTTATCCTACATATGACAGACAAACGATTGGGACATCGGTACTGGGTGAGCAATAACAATTCTCCAGCATATATCATAGTGAAACAAGTGGAGTGAGGGCTGGCTTGGGTCAGACTTAAGTTAAAAGTTAAAAATCTACCTAAGTTATTTTAGAAAAATGATATAAAACCAATTAAATTTTACTCTAATGAAAGCGATAAACTACCTAGGAAAACGATAATTGTATTCCTATGTGAAAGCGATAAACTAACTAAAAAAAAGCAAGAATCTAATAACTAAGAAAGCAATATAATGCTAATCAAGAAAACAATAAAGTTCTAACTAAGAAATCGATATAATTTTAACTATAAAAACGATTAAAGAAAGCAATTGACATTTTTTCAGATATAAGATTAGGCAATTCTGGATTTCGGATAAGTTTTGATCATGGAACGAGCTATTGAACTTCAATCAGATCAATCACTGCCTCGGCCTGCTGCAATACAGACCCTTCTATATACAGTTTCAGGTTTGCTCCATTGACTAGGAAGGAAGCACTTTCCCTCGGGTTATCTACATCGCTGATTCTGATGGCTCTGCTTGGCAGCACTTGTCTAACAATATACGGTCCAGTCCACCTAGATTTCAACTTTCTTGGGTACAAGTGAAGCCTAGAATCAGATAGTAAGACCTCGGATCCCTTAGTGAATTCTTTCTTCTTCAATTTCCTGTCGTGATAGAACTTCATCATTTCCTTATAGATTTTTGCACTTTTGTATGCAAAATACCAGAACTCGGTTAAATCTAATAATCGCTCTATGCGCTTCTGTTGGGCTGGCAACAGATCAAAATTCAAATACTTGATTGCCCAGTACATGCGATATTCGAGTTCTAGTGGAAGGTGGTTTGCTTTTCCATATACCAATCGATAAGGGGACATCCCAATTGGCATCTTGAAGGCTGTTCTATATGCCCATAGTGCATCATCCAATTTCTCGACCTAGTTCTTGAGACTCTTATTGACTGTGGTATGGAGGATATGTTTGATTTATCTGTTGGAAACTTCCACCTGACTGCTTGCTTGTGGGTGATTGGGAGTAATTAGATGTTGGCGAATACCACACTATTGAAGGTAGGATTGTAGTGTCTTATTCAAAAAATGGGTGCCTTCATCGCTGATAATAGTCGTTGGAACCCCGAATCTCGAAAAAATGGTGTACTTTAGGAAGCGGATCATTGAGCAAGAATCATTGGTAGGGAGCTTTTGCGCTTCAACCCATTTGCTCACATAATCCACCACCATCAGAATATAGAGCTTTCCATTTGAGTTCGGAAATGGTCTCATAAAGTCTATTCTCCACACATCAAACAATACCAAAAATAAAATTCCAGGCTGAGGTATCTCATCTCGGTTCGAGATATAGCATAATCTTTGACACTTGTCGTAAGCTATGGCAAACACATCAACATCTTTATGTAGGGTTGGCCAATAGAAGTGAGAATACAAAACTTTGGCATCTGTGTGGTGACTAGTGAAATGCCCTCCTGCATGGGATCCATGACATTCATTCAAGATTATGCAAACCATGGCTCCTTACCCTGCACAAGGAACAACTTCTCATTAGGAAAAGAATTATTAATACCTGAGGATATGTCATCTGGTTGTCGAAGTCTGCTTAGATGATAAGCTACAAAGTGTTCCTTCCCATTCCGGTCCTTGATTTCTATATCCAACTCTTGGAGTAAAAGAACCCAATTAATCAAGCGGACCTTGGTCTTCTCTTTCTCCATCAAATATTTGATTGTTGCATGGTGATAACTAAAATTTGACTTATATTGCAATTTGCATACAGATTCACACGGAATTTTTATTCGAAAATCAATGAATAGAATTTTATAGGGAAACAATCAGATATAGCGATTTTGTGTGGTTGTAGACCCTGAGTAGTTATCAAAATTATTTATACTCTTTTTACTGGTGAGTTTCCAGGTCGAACACAAGGATTTTAAGTCATGAATTTCAACGGTGGAAATCCTGGAGAAAGCGACGAAGGATACAAGAAAGGATCCGCTTGTAGCGGGCCCGAATTTTAACTACTGAAAGTGGTAAATAAAGCAATAAAGATGAGGTGAGCGGAGACGAGCGAAGCGAAAGTGAGGGGTGGAGTGCCAGTGGTAACCAGATGATCGGGGCATGAGCGAAAGTGAGGACCAGATGATCGGGGCATGGATGAATCGCGGTTACCGGAGGATCGGGGCGTGAGTAAGCGGCATATTATATATATATAAATGAGCGAATTAGAGTGAAGGAGAGGTGCTGTGTCTGATCTATGCGTTACTAAATGGATAGATTTCCTGGATGTAGTGAGCGAATGATGTAAGTGTGTTATCGGAAAAATATATGTATATTATGAAAATGATGAGAGAGAGATGTTGTAATTACATAAACTAAATTGTAAAGAACTCATCACGCTGGTATTTTTGGCCTGGGGGGATTTACAACAAGACTTCAATGACACCCAGAATTAAGATATTATAAGAAAGAAACCCTACTGTCACTAGGAATTTCTGCGACCTAATAGACCCCCGTCTATGTCCCGTTAATTTTCCCAATTTCTGCCTCATTAGTGGCTTTACCCCTGATGTTACTACAATTTAATCAGAATCGAATTTAGCACAGCAGTTAAGCAGGTCGACAAGGCTCCCGCGTACTTAACTACATTGAACTACCTTGAAACCGCTTTTGGCGCATAACAAGGCTTAGATAATCAATTCTTCTCTCGCTCTATACCAGTGATATGAAATTCTCTAAACTTGATTTATATAAGTATGTAAAATTGTGAAAGAATTTAATTTGAAGAAGTGAATGATATTTCTTTACATACTACGAAAGCGTGAAAGATTAAAACTACAAAGCTGTAAATGAAAGCAGTAATCTAATCTAAGAAAGCAGTAAAGACGTGACCAAGGGAGAGGGAAGACCCCTACTCCCTTGGCCATTCCTGTGGAGAACTCCCTTACAGGGTTGGAGCTCTCGAAAATAGGAAGACGACGAATGCTAATTGTATGTAGAAATCACCAAAAATTTGATATTTTTACATAAAGATATCTGGCCCTATTTATAGCAGGTGTGAAGAGACGGTTGCAAGTAGCTGTTAGGCAGTTCCAACCGCTGGGAAGTTAGGCGGTTGCTGGTGGTTATTCTGTTGAAGCAGTTGCTGGCCATAACTCTCAGGGTGCCCGCTTCGCTTGCGTTGAGGGTTAAGGGCACAGATCTTCCTCGCTTGCTGGGGTGCTGGAGGGCATCAGCGCAGCTCGGCTCGCTTGTGCTGGCTGGAATTGGAATGGCTGTACCGCTGCAGTTGAAGTACTTAGTTGAAATCTGGTGATAGTCTGCAGCGGTGGGTATCTAGACTGTCGCTTGCACGTGGGAGAGGCTATCGCTTGCGGGCTGTGAAGGTGGCCGCTTGCCTCTCATGCCTTAGTATTTTCAAAATATGTTCTGGGCGCTTGTGAGCGAAGGTGGCTGTCGTTTGCGGCGTTTGCCTTAGCTTTTCTGGTTCCAGATTACCGCTTACGAGGGGAAAAATCGTTAATAATCTCAACAACGAACTCTGGATCATGCCTAGTGATATAAATCAATATTGTATGCCGATTACGAATTATTTTGATGGTTCTTATGCAGAAATTCGAGTAATACACATTTTTGTCAAGCTAAGAATATGCTCATATTTGGAGTCATCAAACCTCCTCACATTAAACCTTTGTTCGTCCTCGAACAAACTGCATTAAAAGATCAAGAGGTTATTCCGTTCACGGCAATGAAGAAGTGCTAATGCATGATTGGGAGTAGAGTGAATCTCTAATAGGAACAAGTGAGCCACAAGTATTCAGCATGTCATTTGATATAGCAAGATTGGAGTTATCCAGGTATTGTCAACTTTGTTCGCTTAACAGGGATTCTTTTTTTGTGATTAAGGAAACCTTCAGCCAAAGGGCGCAGAGAATATATATATATATATTTTTTTTTGGATCGTGAGTTTCAAACAAACATTGTGTCTGCTCATGATCTTATTTGGTTCTCGCACGCCTAGGCCTTTTCAGTTCCTTTGTAATGATAGATCCTCCCTGCTTCGCTCGCATCGTATCTTAAACCAAATTTAAGGACTTCTCTTTTCAAGTTATGCCTTATGAGCAATGTCGAAAAACCTGGTCACTTGCCTTACTGAGTATGGAAAAGTTGAAACGAATGGGGCACTAGTTTTTCACAACTCTCTTTCACTGTTACTTAGTCTAACACTAGTGTTCGGATTATGGTGAAGTTCAAAGGACAAGCGCTAAGTCTGATGTGCTTAGATTATCTAACTCTACTCTAAAACATATCACAAAGTTAACTAAGCAGGATATCACAGGTATCTCACATAAGAGCACATAGTTCAGGTTATGTTAGGCATACAATAAAGAAAAATTGTCACTTGTTACCAAAAACTGTTGTTTTCTTGAGTGATGTTATGTATAGCCCTTGCTATTCTCAATTTTTTGTACATGGGGGAGGACCTTTCTTTACTTCTTCTTCTCGCTTGTTGGTCCTCGCCCTTGAGGAAGGTTGCGTGATATCTGCCGCACTAGGTCTTCCAATTGAATGAGACTCTTGGCTGTGTCAAGCTGTTGTTCCATTAGGATGGCGTTTTGTTGGGTAAGAGCTGCGAGAGCTTTCATAATTTCCTGCAGCGTCGTACCCATGCTTGCAGCCAGAGTTTCCAGTGCTTCCACTCGCTCTTTTAGTGCGGCAGTCGCTTTCTTTCCAGCAGTCAGTTCAGCACCAAGACTCCTAGGATATGTGTCCATTAATGTCTGAGTCATCATGTATTGGGTGAGAATGGCTGAGTCGAGTTCATCCAATCTTCTTTCAATATTTTCTAGTGATGAGCGGGGGGCTGATGGTCCAGCACCCGCCGCTTCTGGTGACTGTTGCTCGCTCTCAGCTGAACTGATTTCCACTGGCTCTTCCTCTTTTTGGGAATCGGGTGCTGGCTCAGGGAAGACATCCCTGAGGAATACTAGCTGCCTCGCTGCTTCGTACTCCAGCTGCTCTGCTTTCTTCCGTTGTAAATACCTTCTGAATCGCAGCTGGAGTTGGGTCAGCGGTTTCCAGTATTTTAGTAGCTTGACCAGCACCTTCATTTTCCTTTTTCTTTCTCGCTCGAGCTGCTGCATTCGTTCGATCTGTTGTACTGCGGCAAGCAGCTGAGCTTTCTGTTCTTGAAACTTCCTATCTTGTTCTTCCTCCTCATCCTCTATAAGTGTTTTATCAGATTTGGTTGAGGCAGGAGTCAGAATTTTTGCAGGCGTTTTGATGATAGTAGGTGTTCCTGGGCCGCTCGGGGATACCTGCAAGATTGGAAGGTTTAAGATCACTGCCTCCACATCCTCGGCTTCATTGGCAGTTTCAGCGGTTGTGGTAGCGGGGACCTCGGCGGGATATTCTTTATATGATTCTATGGTGACATCGATCCCGCCGATAGTTTCTTCAGTTAGAACAGTCTCCCGCTCCTCCTCTGCTCCAGCAGCAGTAGGCTCCACCGCTCCCGGCTGGTTAACGGGTGTGGCTTCCTCGCTTGTTCCAACAGCAGTTGGCTCGCCTGCCCCCTGTTGGTCGAAGGGAACAGGTTCATCGCCAGGTGGACTTGGCAGCCTTGGTGACACCTCCACCGTCGCTGGCCATGCTGGCGAAGGTCTCTCGGGTTGGGCGGTGGGTTCTCTGATGACGATCCCCTTCCGTAGCCTGGAGAGGGGAATCGTGTCCTCGCTTGACTCTACATCCACCGCTTTCCCTTTCCCTTTCTCCTGTCTCGTCGCTCGCCGAGGGGGTGTTGGATTTTTTTGCAATGCTTCCTTGACCCTCGGCTTCTTGACAGGTGGTGGAGCAGGGTCTTCTTGCTTCTTTGACCT